GGAGATGTGCCAAGGTAGTTACTCTAGGGATATGTTGAGCAAGTTGATTTGTATCAGTCAATAGCCTGATTTTCATTCACTATTTTTATGAGTATTATGAGCAATGCTAGAATGCTGAATTGTGATAGATAATTGAGGGTTGATTTATAAGGGTTGTAATAATTTGAGTTATAATAGATGTTAATTCTGTGTACTACTTTTGATAGCAGTAGAACAAACAGATGAGGCAGTTAGTGTAAGAAAAAGATCAGTGGTAAATGTTACAAGAAAGATGTTGCTTGGTTTTGTTATTTGTGAATAAAAGTCATGTACTAGATGCTATAGAAAAATGTAAGTGAGACAAATATTTTAAGAGAAGTCATTGATCCATGTAAGAAAATATTTTGCTTAGTTTTGTGCATTTGCGTCATGCAAACTTTCTAACATGATTTTCAAATTATTTGGTCGGTTATGTGTAGTTTCAGAAGTTGGAATGTTATTAATTGACTCCAGATGAATTGATGTCAATGGAACCCAAAGGTACTAATTTTTAAAATTCCACAAAGCCCTGTATCTACAAAAATATTATAGGGATCCTTTAGCTAACCTTGTAATGCATGCAAACTAGCATTACACATATTTTGTTCTTTTTATTACTGTATGCATAGTATGAAATGGGAAAAAGGATATTTATTGATGAATTAAGTAAGATAACCTGTTCATTATAGTTTATAATAAAAAATCAGTCGAATTTGATTTGAATACTTGGTACTGAAGAGAGACAAAAAGTGGAAGCATTATAGTGTGGACTGAATAGATTATTTTATTTTTCCTCAGTCATCACATGGGCACTCTAGCACCTCTTTGCAACCTCCATGGGTTCTTTGGAGTCAGTCCCATTTGGGGAACACAGAGGTAACCTATGTCGTAATTAAAACTGAGGGATTGCAGAACAATATTATTTGCTTTATTTGATAGGAGAGTAAGATAAATGTATAGAACAGGTGGGAGCATGATATTAATTTATTTCAATACTTTTTCTGTACCTGTATAGAACAGGTGTCCTTGTGTCCCATACAGAAGGCATGCCATAGTTTGTAAAAATGTGGTATGTTTAACAATTAAATTCTATGGAGGTTTTCCTACTACAGTTCTGTGAAAAAGATGAAGATTATGGTATTTGTAACAAGGAAAGTAAGTTTTACACTAATTTGGAAGACAGACAGCTATGATCATTATTTTTTATTTGATTTCTGATTCAAAAATTAGTTTAAAAAATTATATATGGATCCACATATATGTTCTTTTACATGATTTGAATGTGATTAGTTCCTTGATCTTACATAATTTCTGCATTTCCCGTGAGACTGTAGCTTGTGTTTAGTAGGTCAAGTATGTTCTTGAAAGGATGATAATGAGAAACAAATCTTGATAAGCCATTTTTTGAAGATTAAGACAAATGGAGCTCTAGACCTTTCATATGGCCTTGTGATCGAGTAGGATAAAACTTAATCATTATTATAATTATTATTGTAATATATCATAATGTATGTGCACTGTTCATACTTTTCTTTTTATACATTGCACTATGGACTACAGGTATGGTAGGTTTAGCCTTGTAAATCATATTATTTTTTCTGACTGATATTAAGGACTTAGGCTGACAAAAGTGTGATACCTATATATTTTTAAGGTTATTATTTTTTGTATTTCTGTATTATGTCATATAGAAGTAGTATCCCTTCAGATGTTGAGGAAATGGGTCTACAAATCAATCATAGAAAATCAAGAAAATTAATGGTTGAGTGGAATGAATCGTGAAAAATGTAGAAAAAAATATAAATGAGTATTGAATAACTTAATACAAGAGATGTTATTGACTTATTTTGAGAGTTTCTAATTCATCTTGTGTTGTGAAAATATTCTATCTCATTTATACCTTTTTTCCTGAATATTACTTTTTTCAGAGAATCTTCAGTATGAAGATTTTTTTCTCACAGTGAATGAAGAAGCATAGCATTATTTTTTTTTCTACGTAATACATTTAGAAAAAGATCATGTATTGCTACTTGGTAATATTGTTACAGAAGATGCCAGATTATTTGCAATATGGATTGTCTTTTATCTTGCAACTGTAATGATGATATTGAAATCAGTTATATCTAAATTATTTCCTCATTTGATGCTACTGAACTCTTCAGGAAGATTGATACAGTGGTTGTAGTATCACCTACGAGGGAGGTGACTGTGGATCAACCACTGTGAATCCAAGTGGTTGGAAAAAAGCATATCATTCATAAGCTTTGTACATATTGGGGTTACTCCCTTCGTTGGTAAATATAATGGTTTTGTGTGTGTTCTAGTTGGATGTCTGACTTGATATGGTTGTATATAATCATAACATGATATGTATGGTATTTATTGGCAAGTTATCGGAAGTATTGTTTAGGGTTGCTCTTCTTTTCTGTTCTTGGTTTCCTTTTTCTTTTTGAAGAAATTGTTTATTTGAGTTGTTTTAAATGTTGAAAAAGTATATGGAGATGCTTTAATGATGTTTATATTTGTTAACTTATATAACACTCTCAGATTATTAACCTCTCACAGACAGGTCCTGTAGTATTACCCTTTAGGTTTTCTCAGCATGTTTAAAACTGAAGGTGTTAAATAAATTACCAGAAGGTATTATCAGATATTAAAACCCTATCAGGCATTGTGCTAGATTGTGATGATGAGGTACCTGCCAATCTGTCTCCTGTGTGCATTCACAATTCCTAAGTACCTCAGTTATTCCTCATAAGACTGAATATGACATTTGAGATACATACATGCACATATACAGACTCACATTTTTGGAAATATGGTATAGATGTAGACAATAACAAAAGGTAATACATGTACACTTTGTCTTTCATTTATACAGTATCTTCTCCGTGAGTAGAAATTCATAGTTTCAGATGTAAGGAAAATTAAATTACATTTTTCTCTGCCATTACTAACAAATAACAAGTTCAAAATTCTTAGAGAAAAAGAAAAAAAAAATACTGAATATAACCGTCTCTGTGATGGGTTAATAGTTATCTGTTCTGTTTTTCTTTGCCAGATATATTGAGTAAAATGATATTGTAAATGGTAATGCACATCTTATTTTCAGGTTGTAATGATGAATTGCCAAGCAGGGAGATTCACTATATAGCAGGTCCATGAGCTTTGATAATAACTAGTACTGCACATAAATGGGACTTAATTATTATGTCATGTAGAAGATTCTTTGATGTACTATCATGAACGTACTTTGTTTTTAAAACAGTACTTTTTGATGTTATTGATATTAAAGGATTTACATTCACTCATTTATGATAATAAGATTATGTTGAGCTAATTCCTTTATTTCTTATTTAGTATTTTATGCAAGGTGTCTGAAAGTTTATTCTGTCATAGTTTTTGCTTTTAATGTTCCATAAGATATTGTTTATCAAGCATTTATCTTGTCTCAGTAAGATTTAAACCTGAAGTAAAAGGAGCACAGATTTCAAGTAATGAGGAAAGATTTAGAATCTCAAGAACCAAACCTTTGAACTCTTCCCTTTGCTGAAGGATGTACCACTGCCATGGGCATTGAAATATAATTTTTTCTAGATTATGTCAGAGCACTTTTTCCCAAATTTATGTAAACAGAATTCAGATAAAAACACACTGATACAAGAGGGTTAGCTCTCATTTTTTATTGTCATTATAAAGTAGAATTTCATTTGCTAGAGATGTGGACATAGAATGACTATTTGCCTTCTCTTCTTTTTGTCTAGTGATCACTGCCAGCTTTACCATAAGTCAGTAAATCACGAGAATATGTAATTATATTTTTCTCCACAGGTTTGTTGACTGATAAATTCTTGGTACTTGAACTGATAGTACATGGTAGTACTATATTTTTCAAATTTGAAAATAATGTAGTTTGATTTAACTTTCTCCGAGAACTATGATTCATATTTGGCTTTACTACAGAAAGCTACTGTTATAGTCAACTTCAGGAACTCATTTCACTTTTCACTTAATCCTTCCAAACTGAAAGTACAATCACAGGAGAAACAACACTAAATATATATATGACATTGCTTTATGTTTGGGAGTTCCTCTTCATAGATAAGTCTCATTCTTAGACAGTTTCATTTTATCATACACAACTCACAAACAATGGTGAACAGGGAGTGTCAGGAAAGTGGTTCCAAGACTCGTAGACCCCATAGGTGCAAATGCAGAAAAATCTGTTTTGGGTTCCGAGTTATTTTGCTGAAAGTCCGGACTTGAACAGTTTCCTTTATTCCAGTAGTTCCTTTAATGCTTCTATATACCCACTGTAATTATATTAATTTGTTAAAGTATGTCGTCCTGTTTCTTTCTACTTTATCTTTCCATTTGAAATAGCAAATATGTATTTTGTTTAATGTTTGAAGGTGTATGTTGCAAAGAAAGTGAAGTTATAGAAGAAAATGGTATTGGAAATATGTAACATAATTTTAATTTTTGTTGTTAATTGTCATCTTTGTTAAACCTTACTTCTTTTCTTTACCATAATTATGAAAAGACAATCACATTTAAATTCTTGAAAAATACCAGAAAAGGAGTTCATTGTGACAGTATACAAAATGTAAAGGTGGAAATGGATGGTTTCACAACACACAATTAGATTGCTGTATTTTGATTTAATCTTACCCAGAAATGCAGATTTCGGATGAAAATTTACCCAAAACACATCAAATGCATTTCTGTATTATGATATTATTTATCCTCACTTATACCTTTTCTTCAAAATATATGTAAAAATATTCTATTAATGAATATGTGTATTTATATATATATATTATATATATATATATATATATATATATATATATATATATATATATATATATATATATAGTATATATATATATATATGTATATGTATATATGCATGTATATATATTTTTCTTATTTGCTATAATTCTTTTTTCTTACACTGTTCCTGTTGTTTGGTTTTGCTATTTTCCACTTTCTTTTTTTCCTGTTGCTGTTGTAAAACATTTCCAATAACAGATTCATTTTGATTGTTGATTTGTTTGTTTTATGATTATGGGGAATTTGGATAAAGAAAACTGTAATTAAAAAAGTGTAATCTTTTGGGTTATAGAAAGTGATGTATATGCTAGTCTTCCTGTTTAGGGACAAAAGAATGTATGCAGGTTACTCTAAGTAGCATAATTTAAGGGCTGTAAAAGAAGGGGCATGGCAGATGAGATAGGTAAAGGATAATTCGGTAATTGATCCAAGAGGACGTTGGAAGCAAGGTCTAAGCATACCAAGTCTGTTCATTCATGGCTCGACTTTCGACTGAGTGAAGAGTTAGGTCACAATGCCTTCATACGCTGAGTGTGTTGGTGTGATTCTTCATTGAGATGGTATAAGTTATGCATATCTGTATAACAGGGCACTTCCTAGTATATTTATTGATTTATACATATTTTGAAGTAAGAGATGTATACTTTCATGTAATAATGATATTAAAAAAGAAAAAAAAAGTGCAATAGGTTTGCATCCATGAACAAGTTCTCACCAGTTTAGAAGGAATGGTGATGATATAAACTTTAGGTATACTTAGACTTTGCTTCAGAGGCATTTGCCTAAAAAAAGTACGTCTAGCCATATCACTCCCTAAGCTATGAATTAGGAAATGCTAGGTTTAAGAAGATAAAAAAGTTAGCCTACTGTCAATATAGGTGGCTCATTGTGTTTATTTTTTCTCTTATTTTTCAGTGGTATTTCTACTTTTATATAGATATTACTTTGTTATATTGTTTTGTCTCATGAGGTTTATTAGAATTCAAGTTAGAACAAGAATAAGTTCCCTTCTTTAAATGAATTGTGTCACTGTGTATTAATTTTCTAAAAGCAGCTCTTCTGATTTTGGTGCTGTTGTCATGTGCAATTTTTGTGTTGTATTTCCTTTTCCTTATTTATGCAAATATGGAAATGAGTTTGTATGCTTAGCATTTTCAGGGGTATTAATGTATTTCTTCATCAATAAGAATAATTGTTAACAGTTCTTTGAATATCCTAAAGTTTTCATAGTCTCGTTCTCTTCAGAATATTCAACCCCTTCCGTCAAAGGGGCTGATGCTGACATAGGAGCTTTGCCTTATCCACTCGTTACTTCCAACCTTGGGAGACCCCTTTGGTAAGCTACCAAATCAAGCCTTTCCTAATCAGGATGAACAAGCCATGCGCATATAATGAGCAATAAGGTCATTCCACCTGGTATAATCTCTAGAGGAACCCCCCCAATCCCTTGCCCGTTGTTGCCGTGGGGGAGTTTAGGAGACGGAGACTGAGACCCAATGGCAGGGATCTCCCCTGCCTAGGGCCTCAGCCCTCGACTCAACTTATTTTGCATGGCCTTTTCTCCCTCCAGCTTTCTGTTTCCATCCCTTCTCCAACCCCTTCTACTATCTACTTCCTAAGGTGTAAGAGCCGTGCTGAAAGGATGAAAGGCTGACCTTGTGCCGGTCCTGAACGGCCTGCGGGAACCATGGGCACGGTATTCCCCTGATTTAATTGTCTAGCCTATACCCCTTTAAGGGTGTCACTGGGGGGGAGTGGACTGTTTATTTCCCCTACATAATCAAGGCTTCCCATGGCCAGTAATGAAGTAATAACCATATAAGAGGCAATGAGGCTTGTCCCTTCATCAAATAGCCCCAACAATTCCTGCAGAACCTCATCCAACTCTTAATACTTAATGAACTGTCTCTGTCTCCCGAGCAAACTGCCCAGTGGATACCAAAGATTGGTCAGATTGTGGAGAAGACTTACTCGGCTGCCTCAAAGACCAAGACGTGAAATCAGTACATTGCTACTCCATTCCTCCTAGAGGTCATCGAAAGAAACCCGCCAACATTGCCAAGATTACTTTCAGTACACATGACCTTCCCGTTCGTATCTACATTGGTGGACAATCCCTCCCTGTTCGACCATACCAACCTCCTCCCCGTCTATGTCAAAACTGTTGGCGCTTTGGACATCCTGCCAAACACTGCCGCTCCACAGACCGATTCCCCCTATGTGCCCAACCCGGTCATAACAGATCAAACTGCCCTGTACAAACACGCACATGTGCTAACTGCGGCGGTCCCCATAATGTATTTTATAGAGGATGTCCCACTAAAATTTCGAGTCTGAGGTAGCAACTCTCGGATACAAAAATGGTCTGTACGTGAAGCCAGACAGGAAGCACGCCGGCAAGGTTTCTCTTATTCTCCCTACTCTAGTAATGTCGCTCGCTCTGCCCCTCGCCCTCCACCTCAAGACGTTGCTACACCCTCCCCTATTCCTCCTTACTACCCATTTTCCACTTCTACATTCTACCTCCCCCAGTCAAATTATTTTGCTACCCTGAGCCCAGACACTCCAATCTTAACTACAGCTCCAACACCGTCCTCTCTCCCTCCCCGCACTACCCGCAGCAGACAGACTAAGCGTTCCCCCCTTCTTCCCCTTCTGCACACTCACCTCCACCCACCTTTACCTTTATTCCTCAGACACCAGTCTCCTCTTCCCCCCTCATAAGAAAACCTTTGTCTCACAAAACTCTCCAACCAACTCCACTGCAGAAACTATGGAAGATATCCAAAACTAAATGCTTTAGACACAAAATTCCACAACTCATGCTCCTTCTACACTCGATGTGACTGCCGATATCCATCCCCCTCCTGCTCATATTCCCCCTACGCCCCTCCCTCTCTTAAAGCTGACCCCCTCAATTCTGCCTACTACTGATACCCATCCTCCTGATACTACCGATATCAATCCTCCTCCTACTCATTCCCCCTACACCCTTCCTCCTACTCCTCCCAACGCAACCCACCC